TCACTGACACAGGCAGACACACACTGACAAACACCACCAGTGTCACTGACACAGGCAGACACACACTGACAAACACCACCAGTGTCACTTAAATGAATCCTTGGACTGCACAGTTAGGATTTAGGCGAGTGAGGTAACATAGACTTAAGACAGGCCGAGGCTATCAGAAAATGTTTCAGAAAATATTTAAATTGGTTTATTCAAAAGTAGTTTTAAAGAAAGTAATTCATTTTTGCAGGTGATAGCTTGTTTCACAGTTCTTGAAAGCTCCGTGAAATCTTCAAAATTGCAAATTAAGTAGAGTTGAAAGCTGGGCTTTGGTGCAGTTTGCCTGACTTCCTGCCGTCTTCTTTCAGACCTTCAGAGCTGTCTCATCTGCATTGCCTGCCGTCTGCCACGCCCACAGCTGCCTGTCAGCACTGAGTCCTTCATCACCAGACAGGACCCCACAGGTAAGAAACAGTGGTTTCACATCAGCAGGGGCAGCAGAAAGCTGAATTAAATTAGACGTGGTAGCAAACAATTAAAATACCTTCTGCTTCTTTTTTAACTTCTTAGAATGAACAATTCTATACATTTTCAAGTGTAAATCATGAAACAATGCAGTCTTTTTCCATAGTGTTTTTCTCAACAACAGAAAAGGCAGTTAAGAATCTAATAGAAAAAAACGAATGTGTCAATTAGTAGAACTGTGAAAAAGTTGAATATGATCTTGATTTCTGAACAGAGACAGTTTGAAAAATAACCACCCTCCTGGGGTATTCTCTTTAGATTAGGGTCCAGATACCAGGAACACAGTAACTTATCTGAAAGCTGGGGCGTTGAGTCAGTGGCTCAGCTGGTAAATGTGCTTCCCTGGCTAAGGGTTCAGCTCCATCATAGGATTTAGCCTGACTCATGTGATTGGCGTATACAGTGTACACTTCTCTCACTTTTCTTATGGCTTTCGTGACATGTTCGGTATTTTGTGTCTTCTGTTTTATTCTTATGTTGCTTCTGCCTGGAATGTCATTTGTCCTCACAGCTGTTCCCATTAAATCTAGCTTTTGAAAAATTCGTCAAGGCTAAATGCCACTAAGAATATACAGGAAAAAGATGAGCGTGGCACAAAGCATAAAACTGAAGAAAAGCATCTTAATTGAGCGTATTTCTACACTCCCGTGTTTTCTTTAAAATTTGATAGTTTCCTGAGGTTATCTACTCTCAAAAAAGCCTGCTTACATATAAAAAGAACTCAGTCATCCCTGGAGTCTGCAGATTTCATACCAGAGGGTAACTTCTGGTTTTCAGCATCAGTAACTAAATTTGTACTGCTGGATTGGCAGGTGGTTCAGAATATTCATTTTAACCAGGGTATGTTTAGGTTGCTGGGGAGCTAACTTGATAAAGTGTTGAGCTAGCAACGTAGAAGAGCTGTTTTTGTTAATCCTCCAACCCACCAGCTGCCTGGCAAGCATATTGGAAGCCAGGTGTGATATAAACAGCAAACGTAACTTCTGCTTTCAACGCAGGAAAGTGTAAAGTTAACAGCTAAGACTTCTGACCCTCTTTAAGCGTTGTATATTGTAAGATTTGTTAATAGGTGCTTTCCTGTGTTTCAGGAAAGATCATCTCAATTGAGACAAGTGCGCTCCGTGCCACAGGACGTCCTGGGTGGGAGGACCTCGTCCGGAAGTGTATCTATGCCTTCTTCCAGCCACAGGGCAAGGAGCCGTCCTATGCGAAGCAGCTTCTTCAGGAAGGTGAGGACCACAAAACCCGTTCCTGAAGACACTTTTATCGGGTGTTTCGCTTGTTTTAAGATGCGCTAATAGACACAGGATTGTCTTTACAAAAGACTCGAGTGCTCTGTACAGTATGTTTCACTCCTTTCCATCACCAACGGGTTACCATATAACCACGTAGCAGATCATTTTTTTTTAAACCAGGAAAGAACTGAATGAAATCCAGCCCAGTCAGCCCCTTGCGTTTCTCGTACGCTCATAAAGGCAGCTGTAAAAGCCTGCTTTAAATATTTAATCGTCTGATAATCCTGTTGATATTCTGAGTGTTGGAAGCAACATATTGGGGCTGTAATAGATTATCACCACAGACAAGCAGGGTATCGATTTCAGGTCTTATTGTAGAATATGTTTCTCATTCATTTTTACTGTTTGTGTATTTATAAGTTCACATATTGGAAATCCTCTGTTTATTGCATTTAAATTAGAAGAGTACATTTCATTAAAGAAGGAAGAATCTGGGTTATGACTGTATCCTTGAGCTGTAATATAGCGTCTTTATTAATATGTCACAATTTAACCAGTATCTTCAAATTGACTGCTGTGTACGTAATGTTGATTAGAATTAGAAGGTCGGAGGAGTATGACTTATTAACTTTTTGAAAGGACATTTTACCATCACAACAAAAAACATTTTGGCATGATGATCTGAAGTGAGGCTGCACAGAGGCGCAGTGATTAGCATTGCTCCCTCACAGCGTTGGGGCCCTGGGTTCAGTTCCTGGGGTGCTATCTGTGTGGAGATGGTACTGTGTGTTTTATTCAGTACCAGGATTATTCAGGATTTCCTCTCACTGTCCAAAGACATTCTGGTACTGTAGGTTAATTGACTTCTGGGAAAATTGGTTCTAGGCGTAAGTGTCTGTGTCTGTATTGGTGTCTATCTGCCCTGCAATGGACTGGCGTCCCATCCAGGGTGTATCCTGCCTTGCACCCATTGTACCCATAGCTCCCATTGCTTGCCAACTCCTGTTCCCCTGTGACTCTGTAATGGATACAGTGGTTAGAACATTGAAGGATGCATCTTAAGAGAAAAAAAAATGTCTCCAGTCATTAGAATCCTGTGTTGTGTTATGCCTTTCAATTAACTAGAGGAGAGAGGCACTAGTTCAGCCCTCTCTTTCTGATGCGGTGTCTCTCTGTGTCTGTGCAGTGATATCCCATGGTACTGCCATCAGCCCGGTCTACCGTTTTACTCTGAATGATGGCACTACTCTCAGCGCTCAGACACGCTGCAAATTGTGCTACCCGCCCAACCAGGATATGCAACCTTTCATCATGGGCATCCACACTATTGACAGGTACAGCTCCGCACTTCAGAACGTCCTCAACTGTATGATCTTTGTGGTAAAGGGTGCACTGTTTCCTGGGCTTGCCGTTTTCTTTTTTCTTTTCGCATTATTTCTGCTGAAGGGCCCTAACTGCGAATCAAAATGACATTAAGTTTAAAAATGTTAATATCTTCATTTTAAATAACACCTTTCGAAAATACTGTACGTACAGTAGCTTCCTTTTGGAGCTCTGACTGTACTTCACAGTTCAGAGCTCTATCTGATGTGATGGTTGAATGACCTTACCAACCACTGAAAGTCACAAACAAGAATGTTGGGCTACAGCTTTTTGGATACCTCTGCACTGCTTGTTGTTACAGTACATCAATGCCAGTATCAGTAGAATCACTTAAAGCATGATGATGCTCATCTCACATGGCAAACATTTCTCAAGAATTTTTGCAGAAATCTGGTATCAATTTCCTGCTGTGCAGCTGTCTCTTAGCCGAGTCAGGCATCTATGGGATGAACTGGATAGACATGTAAAAGGACACAGATAAGGCTTGATCTGGTATATGCAGTTTAGTTTGCATGAAAATGTTCTCAGTTCGTGTTCTCTCTAATGTACTTTCTCATTAGACTCCTCTAAACACCTGATGAAATGGTGACAATCAAAACTTGAAAAATAAACCATTTAATGTTTTTTCTTGAATCTAGTGTTGTAGTGATGAACTGTTTCTGTATAGCATTTGCTTAAAACTGTACTTATTATGTGCAAGACAACAAATATCTTTATAAACAAGTAAAAAAATCTCAATAAAGAATATTATATCTTATAAAGAATATACACAATTAGACAATTAAATACTTGGCTCCAAAGTTGTATTTATCTAAAATGTATTGTAAATCATGTTAATTCTAACAGTAAAACAAAATGAATATTGGTATCCAGACTCCCAAAGGAAGTCTTTTTGACCCAGTTCAGTCATGACCTAGTCTCAGAAGCAGGACAGAAAAAAGAACTTTGTTATTGTCCTCAAAGTGAACACAAACAATTACAACACTGACATCATCTCTTGAGAGACTATGACCAGGGTCCATATTGGATGGAGGATAAGTCTGCTGTAAGAATCTCAGTACTTTCAAGCCATATGAAGACAACCTGGGATGGAATCAGATCAACTATCCAGAAATACCCTTTCTACTTGGAAAAAAAACATGCCAAAACTACAGCGTGCTCTGTCTGTACTGGATTGGCTTCATGAAACATCTCTGGATCCACAAATAAGGCAATCATGGAAGACGATCATTCTTGACTGCATGGAATGTGAAAAGAGAGAGCAATCCCATTACAAATATGTTATTACTAATTGTACAATTTTCAGAGCAAAAGGGTGTTGAGTTCATTACACTTTTACACTGCCATATACTGTAGATGAGGATGCAACTGGCAATGAATAATTCAATTAACAATTGAATTATTGCACCTTGCATCTAACCAATAATGAAGTTAACTTTTCTGATTAATAAAGCACCAAAAAAAAAAAAAATTCAACAAATTAATTGTAACTCTATCCTCCTGCTTGTATAAAACAACTTGAAGAGATTGTTTTGGGGGTTTTTTGGTGCTTTTTTCATATTTTTAATCTGAAAAATACCTTCATTATTAGATGTACGGGGCAGGAAACTTTTTATGTATTTTTCCTCTTTTTGTTTCTCTCCAAGGGAACACAACACTGCAAGCTCTCAGGAAAACACTAACACTGGCCCTCTGTCCACGCATGGGAGCCAGTCTCCAGCCCAGCCCACCCGCTCTCCTGCTGTGCAGCCAAGCATGGAGCTTGGCCAGACTGCTGGCATGGGCGTCCACCTCAACAATGGGAACAGCAGCGGGACTGGCCCAGCCACACCTACCAGCCACCCACCAGGGTACCTCACACCCAGTCGGATGGGCACCCAACAGTTAAACAGTCCTTCTCCCCTTGGCAGCCCACTGGGAACTACCCCCACCTCATTCATGTCTCCCAGGCCGCCTCGTGGGAGCCCTGGGCTCGGGGGGAGCCCTAGAGTGTCGGGGAATCCCTTCTCCCCTTCCACACCCAGCCTTCATTCCCCAGCAGGGGCACCCAGCGGTAGTGGAAACCTGAGCAGACAGCAGTCAGGTTGTCATGGAGAGTGTGCCGGCACCCCTCTCAGTTTCTCGACGCCCTCTCCGGTCCCGCAGAGACAGACCAGCACTCCTGCTAGCTCACCAGTACGCCCTCCCCTCGCAAAACCGGCCGAGGGGCTGCCTGAGAGCAGAGAGGACCACACCAAGACTCCTCAGCAGCTCAGCAACGCCAAGCTGGGCCAGCTCCTGGACGGCTGCGGAGGCAGACCCTCGGAAACGGACACGCCCCCCTCCCTGCCGGCCCCCTGCCCGGCCTCCCACAGCTCGCTGACGGAGCGCCACAAGATCTTGCATCGGCTCCTGCAGGACAACAGCCCCACGGAGCCGACCGAGGGCGGGAGAAAGGACATGGAAATCAAGAAGGAGCCTTCCGCCAGTTCACCCAGCTCCAGGGAGCCCCAGGACCACCAGCTGCTGCGGTTTCTCCTGGACACAGACGATAAGGATTTGGGAGGCCTTCCACCCTCTTCTGCCCTCAGCCTCCAAACTGTCAGAGTGAAGGCCGGGAAAACGCCTGAAGCAGAGTCCAGTGCCTCCCCAAAGCCAAATGACCGGCCAAGAAATCAGGTAGCACTTTTTCCCAGCATGCCTGAGCTCAAGCACCACAGTGGCTTCCTAAGAGTCATATCATCTAGGAGATGATGGGTCTGCATTTAATTAGGATTGAGGATACACATTGATTTGAGGCAAGCAGAATGAGGTTTGCCCCTTTTTTGATCTGCAGGAAATACCATGATGAAACTCTAGCTTAGTATTTGAAGCTGTTCATTTAGGCTTTTTTAGCTGTTCATTACACCGAGTTGCTGACCAACACAACCTAATGCTTCGCATTTCACACTCTTTTCCGTCTGTTGAAACTCAATAGCATAGCTGTGATGGTCTAAGCATCTGTATTATTTAGTTATTTAATGCAAACCAAATACTTTCAGAAGAAGTGAGAGCTAAAGCTAAGTATCCTTTCCCATTTTACATTCACTTAAAGGAAGTAGATTAGAAAGGATTTAAAGGTGCATCATTCGCCTGATTTGACCAAATACTGTAATACCAAAAGTCATATTTGGTACACTATCATTTAGCTAGAAAAAAAAATACAAAGTGTAATATCTTTTAAATACCCCCTCTTTGTTAGTTGGCAGTGAGATGTACGGTACGTACTAAGGGTAAGAATGGTTGTTTGCTTCCTGGCAGGTCATTTTACAGGTCTCTGATAGCACATATCATCTGTTCCAACCTTCCCTACAGCTAAACCCCGCCACACTTTTATATTATTTCTTCACTTACTTGCGAATTCGGGAAGTACTGGCTGCTGGTGAGATGTTGACCTTCCCTTTGCCTGCTGTTTTCCCAGTTTGGAGCTGACCTGGACACGGTAAGCCAACTGCTGCACACACTGGCTGGCGGTCCGGGGGTAAAACTGCCCGAGGAGCAGGGCGACTCACCGCAGCCAGGAGAATCCAGCCTTCCCAGGGGCGTGAGCGTGAAGCAGGAGCCCAGCAGTACCCCTGGCCGTGGTGAGATGGGGATGGAGGAAGATGAAATGGGGGGGGAAATCACGGTGCCCATTTCACACTAGACCCACTTTTTGTTTTACGGTTGTCATTCTTTGATGGGAACTAAACTTCCAGATCTTGATTTTATTATCGAGATCTGCCTGGAACATAGTTTTTTTTCTGAGCAACTTTGGTTCAAAACATCCTTGACTTGAAATTGAATTTACCGTAGCGTGTCCCTGAAGATGCTTCAGGTCATCAGCACGACTAACAAGCGCTGGCATCAACAGAGAGTGTAATATAGGATGAGTAAAGATAGCCTTTATAAGGGGCTTTTATAAAGATAGTCTTGGTAAGGGTCTACTGTGCAATCACGTACATTGAATGGAAGCCTAAACTGATAAGGTTTCTCCTTTCCTCTTCCTTTCTGCGATTCAGGTTTCAGTGATGGGCCCAGACTACAGAGCCAATCACCTTTTGAGTTCTGCAGTCCCTCCACTCCCTCCCAAGGCCAAGGAGACCATTTCCTGTCACCTAAGGGCAGCAGCCCATTCAGAGAGTCAGGCCACGTAAACACCTTCAGGACTGACACAGGTACAGGTGTGACATCAGACACAGGCATTTAGGACATGTGCACTCTGAGAGACAGGTGAAATATAAAGTTTTCAAATCCAGCAAGAATTAAAAGCTTAATGTATGTTCTTTGTTGCTGGAATGCAGAATTTTATTAGTTTATCTATAAGCCGGAGTCTAACCTGGCAAGTAACGGGATGCCAGTCTATCTCAGGGCACACACAGACACATACACACACTCACACCAGGGCCAATTTTATAGAAGCCAATTAGGCTTCCATGTCTTTGAACCGTGGAGGGAAACTGTAGCTCCTGGAGGAAACAAAACAAACACAGGGAGAGAACATAGGGAGAACATACAAACTCCACACAAATAACACCCTCGCAATTGAAAACAGAGCTCCAGCAATGCTAACCACTGTGCCACTGTGCTGTTCATTTAGTCTAGTTTTGGGCTTTGCTTATTTTTGTTCACGCGGGGGACAGCTTTTTTAAATATCTTGCAATGTATTAAGCGTGGTTCCTATCTTATATGTGCAAGGAAAAAGTAAATCTCTCATTCATCTGTTCTACGTTTTTGGCATTACTGTTAGAATTAGGATTTCTCAGAATCCTGTAGCCCTGCAAATTATTTCTCTCCTTGTCTAGACGAAGGGATGCATGGAAATCTCTGTGTGTTCTTTTGCAGGACTCCCAAAGATGGAGCTTACAGGGTCACAGCAGTTCCATCCTCCCCCCATGGCCGAGCCCATGCCTTTTGAAGGCAATATGGGAAGTGTGAATGATAGTGCTCTGACAGTTCCACCAGAGTGAGTGTCATCTCTCATATTCTTCACCATCCATTTTTCAACACATGACCCTGTCACATGCTCCCCAGAGATGTTCTAGGTACCTTCTTCTCTAGTGTAACACTCTTCCCATCCCCCAGGCAGTGCATCCCGTGCCCGCTGGATGAGATGCTGTGTCCGCCGACTACCGTGGAGGGCCGGAATGATGAGAAAGCACTGCTCGATCAGTTAGTGTCCTTCCTGAGTGGCACAGATGAGAGTGAACTGGCGGCCCTGGACCGTGCACTGGGCATTGACAAGCTCGTGCAGGTGAGCATTTCATTACAGGCTTGGGGTCACTTGGTTGTCATCCTTAATTTAAAGGTGGTTAAAAGTGCCTTAGTTCTGTTGCAGCTGTAGTGTGCTCTCACGAGGCACCAATTCTGTAGGGTTTGGGCATTTACTGGGACAATTATTAATTGTAGCAGTAAATCACAAAATGATTCTTTTAATGGCTTTAGAATCCAACCATGCGATATAACTCAAACAATGCACACACACAGGTACTAATACACGAGGATACATTTATTTATACATAGAATATGCATGTAAACCTACCAGATCTTATTGTGAGGGTTATCAGAATACAAAAGATATGTATTCAGTCAGTTACGAAGAGTTACATATATCAAGAGGACATACTTTCGGTATATCATTCATTTAGACCGTTTCGTAATTGAACTTGGTTACAAGTTCTACATTAGATACTGAAAACAAGTACATAACTCTTAGGAATTAAATTGATATCAACTGGTTGGGATAACAATTGAATTCTCGAGCTGTAATGCATTGAAGTTGAATACTCATC